TCTTTGGTTCACTGTTTGAACCAATCGAATTTATTCATGATGTAAACAGGCTATGTGTGCTCTTGGCGGAACTTGCTATTTGACACAAACTAACTGTATGAAACTCGTTCCCACTCTTGTGGATTCAACTGTTATACACCCTTCTAACACCGTCTCGCGCTCTCGTATCCCCTTAACTGCAGTTGCCCTATTCATGACCAAACTTCCGCAAGACATGGACCCGGATGCGCTCATCCACCACATTAGGCGAGTAAACCTCACCCCCACACGGTTGGCGGCGTTGCTCGCGATGTTCCAGGTGCCCGCTAAATGACCCGGCCAGTCTCTCCGGCGGCGACGAGTTTGTTGACCGCACATTTGATCATGTGGATATAGGGCCGCATGGGGGTGTCCCATTTCCAACGCATGGGTTGATCGCGTTGGCTTCCCTGAAGTGAGTGTGTGGGTGGGTTGGCTCCCGAGGCAGGATTTGTCACAGGTGATATGCGGAGCCAAGTTAGCATTCGCGAACCAGAGCTAGCAACACGAGTATATTAACTCGGTAACGATGGAAGTACTTTATCAGAGGGGTTCCGTATCATTACACCGGTACTGATTTATCCGATAGGGCTATGCACTGACAACATAGACATCTATGTCAATAGTATCTGCCGTAGGTTGAGAGGTATTCGGTGATTCAAAGCCTCGTTCGCGGGCTCGTGGTACACTGAAAAGAGTTTCCCTAATGTAGGCCCATTTTTTTGCCGCAGGTTCAGCAGCCATGGGCTCGTGACCGCATACCATGCTTCCACCGTAGCTCCCCCTAGATGTTAGTTGATCAGTGTAAGAAGACCAAGCGCCGGAAAATCACTGTTGTAACATTGGGAGGCGAGTCTCTCTTATCAAGCACTCATGAGATGATATCAAGAGGTCGTGGTGACAGGTCCCGCGTTCTGATCAATCGGTTGGAGTGGGATTCAGAATTCACTCGCGAACCTCACGGGCAGTTGCACTGGAAGACGATTGTAGATGCATCATTTACTGGCGCATCGCATAGCCATCGGTCCCTGCACTAAAACTATTCTCAGAGTGATGTAACCTTGCCCAGTATCCATGATATTATAATATAAGACAGGCTGGATGTAGTGATAAACACTTCACAATGAATGACGGCAGCGTGACGTATAATAGGATCGATATCGATGGCTGCGCCGTTCATACAATACACAGTCCTGACTATCAGCACATACGCGCAGACTCGCAAATAAATGTGAACTCAGTTGAGCAGCTTTGCCGTTGCATACATGTTGCTGGGAATGACGACGGTGTTCATCTAGAGTGAGCAGACAACAGTGGTCTATCGTAAGGCTTCTTATATACTGACTAAGAGGAAAACAAAGTAACAAGCCGTTTGCTGAACATTCTCTATGACGCACAATGGCTGGTAAATAATCAACTGAAGATTATCGGGTATCACTATCTACACCGGCTAGTATTCAACATACGTGATCGTCAGTCGTGCAAATGCGTCGATGCCTTTGTTGAGTATTGACGCAGGTGAGAAATCGTTTCTCAGTTGAAAGGTGGGTCACAACTCGCATACAATATCGGTCGAACCGACAGGAAGTAGTGAGAGTAAATCGAAAATAACGAAATTCCAAATACATCTCAGATGTAAATAAACAACTCCCTTCCTAATTGCCTTTCAAATATCTCTCCAGTTTGTCGTCGTGATGTATATCTTAGTATGGCGATCGGTCATATGAGCAAGGCCACCAATCCAAGAGATCACGATGCTAAACACCATACCATGATGTGATGGGTGATGCTGAGCAAAATATCGTTGGGAGTATATCTATTCCTCTTTTCATCTTGGATCATTTTTTCGATGTGAGGGTCCTGCTGGCGTAGCTCCTCAGTAGCGCACTTCCCCAAAAAAGCTTTCTATGGCAGCATTTATTGCGTGCATCACTATACATACAGACTTAAGTTTATACTCTAGACTATGTGCTTGGTTTCGCTGGGCAATAACATATAGTTTGATAATTTGCATATATAACGTTTTCATTGGATAACCACTGACCGACTTACTATTAAAGTCTATTTCGGTCTGACGCAAATGCATCCTTGGCCCGTCAACTCTACAATACATACTCCTACGCGAACGGTCGTTCTTTGAAAGTGCACAGAGCGACTTCATTACTTGGTGTGCACACTATGACGAGCCCTATTCCATGGTTAGAACCATCTTACCACTTGCCGTACGCGTGGGTGAAACAATTGCCTCGTGGGCCTTTTGCACGTTCTCTAAGCTGTACACCTCACCCACTGTCGGCTTGGCTGTCCCATTCCGTAAAGCCAGACCTATGGCCTCGTTAGTGGCTTGTAAATCCTTCTCACTTGATATCCCTGGATATATGGATTAAAAACAATACATAGTAAATATGCGAATGGTTAGAAAGGTGGTGAGATTTTTGCGTGCTACATGGTGAGGCTAAGGAGAAAGGCCTTGTAAACACTCACGACGGCTCGGTAGCGAGGGCCGAGATTCAACTCTGGTACACCTCACTACCGCCCACTCATAATACTGGATCATCAAAATGCGCTGTCCAGCAACTTCTCACGTTCAATTTGCGCGCCCCGTTTAAGGAACACGAAATACACACGAACGATAGAACTATTAAACGTAAGCGCCGGTAGAACAACGCTACAAGCACACACAGGACGACTTACAATAGTTACAGCCTATGACAGACTACAAGCACACACAGGACGACTTACAATAGTTGCAACCTATGGCAGACTACAAGCACACACAGGACGACTTACAATAGTTGCAGCCTATGACAGACTACAAGCACACACAGGACGACTTACAATAGTTGCAGCCTATGACAGACTACAAGCACACACAGGACGACTTACAATAGTTGCAGCCTATGACAGACGATTCATTCACCATTAGCGCTCTCGGATTGATCGAGTGCTCAGATGTGGCTTGGTTTCCGACCACCACAATTCTCTGCAAGGTGCAGCAACACAGCGATGTGTGGTATCAGTTCATGAAGTACAATACCAAACAGCCTGTGCATGGCACAAAAAGGTTAGAAGACTACAACAGGATGGGCTTAACACTCACGGGGCCTAGAACTCCTAAACAACAAAATTGTATCACTCATTCGATAATTAGTAATTTAAATGCTATTGCCGACGTTCAGCTGCTGATTGAAGATGTACAATCACATCACTCATTCGATAATCGCCCAGCAGCTAATTGCAGATATACAGCCCCGTTCATTCTACATACCCCGTGACGAGCAACCAGGTCTATATCCGTGCTGAGATGCTTGTTGGCGCGCATTTCCAGGATCACATCTGCACCATCAGGCATGACGTCTCGGATCTACTCTACAGCGTGCGATAACAAATAAACTAAAAGAAGTACAACAGAAGTTATGAAAATGGTACAACAGAAGCTATAAAAGAAGTACAACAGGAGATATGGATACGACAGAATATATATTCAGATGTTCTTCCTACACCTATTTTCAAAGACGATTCAATCAGAGCTGTACTACTACTGCTCAAACCTTCTCCACTGCGTCGCGACGGGTGACTTGAAATCGTCAACAAAGGCAAAGATAATAGTTTTCTTTCATGAAAAGGCGATTGCTTGCATACCACGCTAGACTATGAAGTTGGTAGGCTACACTTGAAGCTCAACAGAGTGTGAATCATATCTTGATACTTCGATGACAAAAAAGATATTACGCGTACCTTAGTCGTCAGGTCAGTGTCGTCTCGCAGAAAGCAAGCTGCAGCACCTTGCTTCAGTACAGCCTCACAACCCTTTGAACTCCCCGCGATGCCAACAACTGTAGCACCATAACCAACAGCCAACTGGACTGCTGCCAAACCCACCCCTGTTATGTCAAAGGAACGACCATTAATACTCGGCCCGACAAAACACGCGCCTACCAGATAGTGCATTGTAGGCTGCGCGAGATTTGAATTTGTGGACTCAAAACTTGGTGAATGCATCGCGCTACCATCCTGAAGTTGACCTGAAAGTCTCGAGGAAACACGCACACGCACACGTCGATTGCGATACACGATGCTCATGCCCTATACTTGTAAGTAGCGGTGCTATAGCATTCAACAGCTCAATGCCCATTGAAGACACACATGACTCACCTCCAGAGGCGCCATTTATGAGCAGCCTCTCGCCAGAACTCAAGTGTGCGCGTAGCTTCAGAGCACGGTAGGCTGTCCCGTACGGTATCCCCAGAGCTGTGAACCGAATACAAGAATTGGATAGAATCACACGTCTGATAACATGATGGCCAGCGATTGCTAGTCCATCTGACATAGAAGGGCGGACAGATTATACCCGAAGATCTGATGTGAGGTTCGTCGCGCTAGAAGAACGCTCGTCCGGTTAACAAAGACGACTTAAGCTGTCGTTTTGTACATACCAGATCCTTGCTGGAAACTCAAGTTCTCCGGCAAAGCGTGCACATGTTTTGCTTCACACACAGCCTTGTCTGCGTACGTCCCCGTAATGCTATCCTCCACGTACACGCGATCGCCAGCACTCAGACCCTCGACACCATCACCAACATGTGCAACAACGCCAGATCCGTCTTTTCCGGGAGTGTAGGGTAGTTCTGGCAGTAGATGGTATATCCCGGATCTGTTTTGAATGCCACATCGAGCGTCGATTAATGATAATGAGTGAGTTGACCGTTCTCTTTACGAGATACCCATCAGTAACCGCTTTGAATCCGAGATCGCAAATTCAGCAAATACTGCCAATCGACACATTGAACTGCACTGAATCATAACCATCGAAGCCTAGAATACTCTCCCGTGAGTAGAAGCTAAACCGCCAAAACCCAAGTTTGTCTGGTTCGTGCGATTTGTTTCGCGCATTTGGACAGAGGCACACATTACCATTCTTAAATGTCTGGGTACGACTACCCTCGTTTCGCAAACCTTGAACACCAGTAAAACTTTCTCAATGGCATATACGCAAGAGCTCCCTACTAATATGAAGCGATAGGTCTCAAAATATTCATAGGCGATCCAGCCCTATCGCGTGCGATCACTTTTAAATACTCGCTTCTGAATATACCTACCTTATGTAGGTTTCAGCCGGATTGATTCCTGCTGATTTGATATCTACAACCACCTGGCCGTATTTGAGGTCTGGCAACTCACACTTCTCAATCTTCATCACATCTGGGCCCCCGAACTCGTGAATTCGGCAAGCGGTATAACTGATCTATTGTGAAAGTTTAATATTCGAAAGAGTGTCAGCGGAGAGTGAACCATTACGTATGGGCACACTTTCACGATATCCGGCGACATAAGAGCCACACAAGCGACCATCGAATAGAATAGTATCGTCGGCGTCTTTGCAGTGTTATTGCACAGATATATATGTCACTGCAAAACACCCAGCGCATGTAGTTGCACCAATCTCGAGCTCAAGCAGTCCAAGTGAAAGAAGAACACTGGTACAATGCTACAATTCAGAGTATCTCGGAAGGCAGATTGTCGAAGGAAAACATCTTAATAGTACCACTGTCGAGTGCACATCACCTATTTTGAATTGCTACTGGCGAGTAGCAGGTGTGACGGGAAGAACCCATTTTGAACATGGGTTTCGAATTAAAAAATATTGTGCAAGCCACACACTGACTGCCTCATGAAGCAGGGACAGACATCATCGGTTCCAGCGCAACACAAGAAAGCTTGCTAATACCTATCCTCACTCACAACTTATACGCGACGAGATGAAGATAAGAAGTGTGTATGGATGTACAAATATACAAACACAAACTCGTGGCCTTTTCTGATTTTGATTTGACATGGGTCTATTCACAATCACATTTTGTACTACGATCCACGAAAAAAAATTGTGCACCGGTGTAGTCAGCGCATTACGTTGCATACGCAAGGAGAAACCGTTTATAACCTATCTCTGATTGTCATGTATCCATTGGAGGTTAGGAAATATTGTGGCCCGCAACTAGCAGAATATAATACTTGAGGTGAATAATGCAACACATGAATATGTCACGCTTCGATTCGGCTCATATTTATTACAGAGTCGACGAGTACACTTCCGAAAATACTTCCCATCATCTAACGTTGATGACACTGGGGAACTAGTGTTTTCCATGTATAATACTTTCTCCTTCTCCTTTCGAAATTTGGTTATCGGGTTTGGTGCAGTGTTACGCAAGCTCACGCTTAAAGCACGCAATACCTTCAGTTGCCTTCAGTGCTAATTCGAGAACAGAGGGAGCAGAATATGTGACCATACAGTGGCTATACATGTCATTCAAACACAAAACTCGGGAGTCTTTTTGCACTCCAATTTAGAGCAATCGAGTTACGCACCGGCCTTAATACTCGATACACTTCACACTAAGAATACGATGATAGCGAGGCCTTCGACTACTGTGCTGAGGGCAGGGACTCGAGAGAAACACATTGCTACGCTACCATATTGCGTCTAAGGAACGCGCAAGAAGGAAGACAATATAAAAATTGACAGGACATGTAATTAAACTATGGAATAACCAGAATACAGGGATTTAATTACATCTATCGACACGCACCTACTTCTTGGCGACATGGAACGATTAGCATTGAACATTACCTGACCAATGCAATACATACATCAGGGTAGAAAGTATATGTCACTGTAGCTGCACAGCCTCGGGCCGCTTGCCCAACTAGTAGCAAAGGTGACATATTTTTATATGGTGCAGCTTGAGTATATGCACATGCGTCAGCATGATACAGCTAGGGTATCTGCTGATACATCTGTCGAGTAGCACACACACCCGCGATTTTGTATATTGTAACTAGAAAATTTGATAAACATCAGTAGAATATCACACGAAACACATGAGTAATCGTACGAAGTACCTAAAATATATGCATATGCATCAGTATGAAGTAGCACGAAGATGGTAGTTAGCGCATATGCTTATACAATTGTCCCATAGCACACGCATCATTGAAGAGAGACTAGAATACATGATTCCATATCAGTAGAATATGTGTCGTAACAAGATCATACTTGCTGTAGCTAATACACGGGGCTTGTACGTATGTAAAATATCAAATACAGCAAGATTTTATATGAGGTGCAAGTCTAGTTAGAATACTATTTTATACACATATCGCATCGACATACACTTGTCTGAGGCATAAAATTAAGCATACCGGTCTCTGCGCCAAGCGCATAGTACCATTGAGCCTCATTGCAGTGAGAGACGTTCTGAACATTGTATGCGAGTGAATGTGTGCATATTCAAAAAGAAGCACCACAGAGTTCAAAATATGTGTAAAGACGCCAGTTCTTGAATCAGATGTTCATTTTTTGTTTTGTTTTATAAGATCGGCTGTATTCTTGAATCAGATTGGGCACTCTCGTGTGGCAGTGGTCAGGTGCGTAGTGACGTGTAAGTATTTTTTAATATGTAATATTCACGTTGCACAGCTGTTATGGGTGGTTGCTATAATTAAACGCATATTTTCTTAATATCTATGCTTTAAAAAACGGTTTATAAGGGCCAAGACTGGAAACACATCGAACTATTGAAAAGGCGAAATGGGCATAAGTATGATAAGTAACAAGATTATTTGCACCTAAAGGCTTCAAACATGCACCTACAAGTATAGCCATAAGGCGGTCACGATATAAACGTTGAATATATCTATATTAAACGTATATTTTTTTAGGGCACAAAACGTATTGAAGTTCGATTGAATCTATTATTTCTACTTATTTTCTGCATGTAAATTACTATTCTTCTGAATAGTAAATACCCTTATATATATATATATATATCACAGGATCTTCTCAAAATCATTTTTAAAAATACTCTTTGTATATAGACAAATGATACAATCAACAGACCATTTTAGATAACTAATACCAAGACATAAAAAGATGGCATCCATCGCTAACGGTAGTCAAGCCGCCTTCTACGACGAAGAACCGGCTCCTGATAATCTCGAGAATGTACGAATGCACGTTAAAGAGTTCATTGAATTTCATAAACAGAATGACACGCCCGTTGTTTTGGTCACGTCAGGAGGAACTACGGTACCCTTGGAATTCAACACTGTACGGTTTGTCGACAACTTTAGCGCTGGCACGCGTGGTTCCGCTTCCGCAGAATATTTCATTAGCGAAGGTGTGATGGTTTTCGAAATTTTGATGAAACAAGCTTATCTTTTTGCTTGCTTTGCGTACGTTGTTGTTCTTAGACTATAGTAGTTTTGTTTTTACTGATACTAAATACCTTTTGCGAATTACTGTATAACTTGAGAATGGATATCACAATTCCATATATGTATACAAAAGCACGCATAATCACATACATATACACACATGTATACATGTGCATATATATACACACACGCGCACACACGCACGCACACACACGCACGCACACACACGCACACACATACAATCAATGGTACACATCACATTATCACACACACACGCAAACACGCACACACTCAATGGTAAACATTCACACTTAATAGCACACCGACGCAGACACATACAAACGCGCACGTATACCCACCCACCCACAAATATATATCTGTATATATGGGTATACAAACATATGCAGATACATGCATACATACTCACACACACTCATATATACATAATGTTAGGGAATGAGTAGTTTTTCGAAATCATCAGTGTATTTGGATTTGTAAACAATTCTATGGTAGTCAATGTATCATCTACAAGTGCTTGCTATTATTGTATACCAGATTTTTGTCATCACCTGAAAAAGCGGCATTCAAATGCCTTTCACAAGAAGTTCAAAGGTTCCCGATATTCATGTATAGGAAGGATGTCTGTGCAAATCGTGCATAGGCAGTATCGCTCTTGCGCAGTATTGCTTTGTAAGACTCCAACTTTGTACGCACATCGTAGTAGGCATTTTTGGTTTACTTGCCTAATCATTTTGCCTTGTCGTTCCCCCCCATACATCTATAGGCTATGCCGTGCTCTTTTTGCACAGAGAATACAGTCTGGAACCCTTTAGCCGGAATTACACACACTCTAAGCACTGCTTCTTGGACTTCTTGCACGTTGAAACAGATGGACTTGACACAGCACGGGTGATCGTCAATCCTAGGGTATGTTTAATTTAGCTTGGAAAGTGATAAGAGATACTTACGGTTGCGATCCAGAGGCGTTGTAGTCACCAATGCTTCTTTAGTAGCATTCTAGGATGTGATCGTCATTTTTGAGGAGGGACCATTTCCCACTCTCTGCTGCCTGGTCTCGTTATATTCATGGGCATTTCTTTTCACCACTTACAATCTGATCTCAGGATAAGGGTCATTTAATATCCACCATCAATAAGTACAAGAAAGTTCAGCAAAACCACATGCTGCTGAAAGTAGACTTCAACACGGTAAACCACTACCTGTTCTACTTAAAGACCTGCGCTGAGGAGTTGAACGCCTTAGGTATTGTTAGGCGTGCTCATGTTTGATGTACCTTCTAGATTAGGAGGTTTTATGGGGTTCTAATGTTGTAAATGTCGAGAGTGCGCGACATTTTCAGTATGTTTAATTCTGTTCGGTGTGAGCGTTTAAAGTAGACGATCATTCCATTCTGTGATACGGCATCAACACGGTCAGGTCTGCCCTTGTGTCGATATGCTTATATCTTTTTCACATGTGCATAACATTCGAGGTTCGCCTGAAACAAATGTATGGCAGCTTTTGGGCTATTACTATGTCTGGTGTGGTATATACTCGAATCAGCGCTTCATACTATGTCTGAAACGAGTTGATGTCAGTGATATATCGCGTCTATGTGCGGATTTAAGCCCTTATGCATTCTAAACTTGGAAGTGACAATCGGACTTTTGGATTAAGGTAATGCGCTGCAGACCGGCGCATATATATATATCTATATCTATATCTATATTTATATATAATTGCCATAAACGCATATATATCGTCAGACACTAGCATAGCAATGTTTTGGGAAAATAATATTTTTGTACGCTCGGATATATTGAGTACTGATTATTATTAGGATATGCAAACGGAATAACCTATACTGTTGTGACATTCATTCCAGGCAAGAACGGAATTTGTTATTTAGCTGCCGCTGTATCAGACTTTTATGTACCTGCCAGCATGCTGACGCACCACAAGATTCAGTCAACAAACGGTCCCTTCGAATTGAAGATGGAACAGGTAAGAAGCTTTCTTTGACTTATCACAGTATGCAAAATTTGCAGGCCTTCTCATTTACTTTCTCTTGGTCTGGGTGGTAGTGCGAATATATCGTGCCCACGCGAAGTGAGACTGGTACTGTGTGCTACTTAGGGCGGTTTTCGCTCTCAGACTGGCGTTCTAGTCATTTGCGGGATACAAAAATTGATTGTTTTTTCCCCACAGGCGTCCTTCGTTATTGCGGACTGAATTTGTATACTTCATACGAATATCCGAGTTCATCCCGTGAATTTTTAGGATATTTTTCGCTTATATTACACCTCGTTAGACACTTCCCATATCTCACTGGTGTTCTGACTACACCTCGACACGGTGTTTTTCTGGAGTAGGTTCCGAAGATGCTTCATACACTCACGCGCGAGTGGTGTCCCAATGCCTACATCATTTCATTCAAACTCGAGACGGACGATAAGCTTCTGGTCCCAAAGGTGTGTGGCTGGATATTTGAAGACATCAACTCATATTCATTGTAGATGTCGTCTTGCTGTAGTGGAGAGATTGCAGTGTATGCTCCCAAAGGAACCTGTATCATTCATATATATATATCTGACCTTATACTTCTCGCATGTAAGCTATATTCGCTATAGCGAATAAGTGTATATACGATCGCCACACTCTGTAAAGTGTCGAAAAAGAAGTGCGTTTACATGTGTAGCCGTGATGGTGTTATGTATGCGCAAATCCGCAATGTATTTTGCAATTGTTCGTGTCTGTGATGCCACATCGTGTTCTCATTGGCCGTAACGGCACTCGAGTGGAGACCTGATAGATACTTTGCTACTGTGTGCGTGAAGGCGAGAACGCACTAAAAAAATACGATTTTCCATTGGTGGTAGCCGATATGTGGCACACACGCAAGTTTACAATAGTTATTCACCCATTCCCACCTTCTTCCATTTGTAAGCCAGGCCAAACAAGCGCTGGTGACCTACGGACACCAGCTTGTGATAGCGAATATGCTGCACACGCGCAAGTTCACGATCACACTAGTTTCTCCCGATGATACGGAAGTTGTTGCATTATCACCCGAAGAGAGGGATGATGGTGACGTAGAGATTGAGTCCAAATTGATTGTCAAGCTTATTGAGCTACACAAAGGCTTCAAAGAATGAAGAGTCGTTCGGAATATCAGGGACTACGCTGTGTGGAATCACTAAAAGCGTCAATCAACAGGCAATTTCATATGCTACTTCAGATATCTACGCTTATGACAACTGATAGAGGTTCACTTTGAAAAGTGCGCTAGTTGTATGCTGGGAACTGCAGTGAGGTCAATATCTTGCCACCGCGACAACACTAAACTTGTATAAGCCGAGGTTCCTGACTACCATGCAATAGAATTGGCAAAAACAGAAATAGTAGCATGACATTCGCCGTAGTTTTGGAGCTTCAGTACTCGTTGGAAGTCTAACTGGCACGTGTCTCGTGGACAAGAATGCTGACATCTTCACGGTCATAAATCGGTATGCGGTGATATTCTAGCGCCGCTGACGGCAATCAATATATATATATATATAAATATATATATATATATTAATTTTATGTAGTATATATATTATTGTATATTTTTAATATATATATATAAAATAATATATATATATATATATATATATATATATATATATATATATATATATATATATATATATATGTATATATATATATATAGATATATGTGAATATTTATACATAATATGTATTACGATATATATATATACATATATATATATATATATCGTAATTCATATTATGTATAAAGTATATATATAGGATATATATGGATAATATATATATATAATATATATATATAATTATGTTTATAAGTATATATATATATATATATAATATATATATATATATATATATAAATATATATATACATATATATATATATATATACATAGACATAATTCATATTTTAGAAACATAGTTGGATATAATGGGAATCAAAACAAAGAAGTGAATGAAGATATACTACAAGTTGATCAATAAGAAAATTTGGCTACATGTCTTTCATCAATGAAAAAAATAAGGTGGACTACAAGCTGTTTTACTACAGACGGAGTTCTGTTAAGATTCTTAAAAAAATCAACGTGTGCAGAAATTCGTCTTATAAGTTTCGGCTTAAATCAGCATACACATGTGTTTTATTGATGCTTCGTTTTGTGCAACAGGCGGCCTTGATAAAACGCTTCTTGATTTCATCACCTCCCATGTGTTTTGATTAGATATTGCCATATGAAGATGATATCCACCTGGCAACAACGATTACAGCTTTTGTAAGCCTATATACCATAGCTACGAACGACGATCATACATGTGCTGCAGAGATATAGCGCTTTTAATGTAAAAGATGATAAAGGGGTTATTTGCGCCAATGCCAACAGCGATTATGTAATTATAGGCCGCAACCGAACACTGTCCATCGAACACAGCGACTGCTACACGTGCACCAAAATTAGTGAGGGACAGATTTCAATGTGACGCAGATACTCTGTTGTTAGTCGGAGGTTCGGGACTGAGTCCGGTTTTCTCTTTGCTCCTGCTGTGCCAGCCTGCTAGGCTGTCGTGCCGTCCAGGCTCAGCGGTGTGTGAAACTATGAGTGGAAAACCGGAACATGTGGATGTCGTGTAAGCTGTGGTCTGTGGAACGGCATATTTCGCTCGAGGTTTACTAGAAAAATGAACTCTCGTGTCCCCGGAGTTGGGTGTGAGTAACAGTGAGACTGTGAGACTGAGGTCTGAGACTCTGAGTCTGTACTCTGTAACTGTAGTCTACTAGAGAGTCTGTAAGTCGTCGGTCGTGACGTAAATTGAAATACAAATGCTCATAGCCTTCTTCTAAATTGAACCAAGGCTCTGAAATGCTCCGACACTCCGACAGTTGTAAATATTATTTGTTTTTATAAAAAACAAGCAGTACAGAAATAAATAATTTAAAAAAAAATATACATTTCATTTGTTCTGGAATAAAAATATAAAACAAAATAAAAAAATGAGAACAGGTGACCGTGGGAGGTCGGGCCTAACCTCATTACGTTTCCCGTTAAAACGCAAAATATATAAATAAATAAGCGTTTACGTTAAAAGTTTATCCTAAATATAGTCTTATGGGTTTACAAATAGGTTTATTTTTCGAGGCGGCCAAACTGTCACGAATTGTCCTATTTTTCACTTTGTGTCAGTTGTGGATAGTTTCAAATCGCCTTTTCATTAAAAAAGGTCAATTTCTCAGGTGCAAATTTGGAGAATTTTCATAGTCGTTTTGCCCCCGATATACTTTAAAACGCTTAAAAAACAAAACTTTTCGTGTTTACGTTTAAAGTTTATCGCGTATAGACAAAACGTATTGAGCTTAGGGTCAAGCCGTCAGGGCGTCAGGCAGGAGATTCTGAACGTGCGCTGGAGAGTGGGGTGTATATATTTTATATAAATATAAAAATTGTGTACATACATATCTACATACAGTCATACCTCTTTATATGTCCAGTTCCCCAGAAACAGAGAAACTAAATAAATAGAATACATACATAGATTTGATGTATATTTAGCCCGGTCGGAAAGTTTTGGAGGTAACCGTATTAGGGGAACTAAAAAAGCAGGGGATTGGCAAATATTTGGACATATAAAGAGGTAAGACAAGTCTGGGACAGTTTCATACCATCAGGTTCGGGGTCCAACCTATGGGAGTATGGGTCACACCAGGAGGTATTCTAGGCGCTCTCATTAAATACTCCTTCCCTTTCGTGACTGACTTACACTAAAACCAGCTTCTCTAACCTTATTTACCGACCCAATCAATCAAACGCTTCTCGAATACCTCATAAGACTGACTGGGTATCGTCTCTCCAGACTCCATGAACCTTCTTATTGTTTTGATACTGACGCCGAATGATGCATGCGCTACCCGCACGGCCTCCTTAACTAAATCCTTACGATAGCTGTCTTTCCATGATAGGTCTAAGCTGTATCCCGCTTTCTGGATTGTACGCACGATGACACCTTTAAATTTGTTTATTAGATTGATTCTTTTTGTTGTATTGGAGCTCACATTTGATAATACAGTCTGTTTATATGTTTTCTTCTTCTTACCAACAGTAAGCTTATCTATCGTTGTAGGTGCGTTTTGTGTCAATTCATCTGGCTCTGTCTGTCTGTTATTAGTGAAACCAGACTCCCACAAGTCATCCGGTGGCTGGCATTTATCTATAGACAGGCAGTAACCGATTGAATTTGAGCCATACCCCTCACCAAGATGCACGCCACCAAAGGCATGCATACTTCGATCGCAACCAGCACATTTATTTACACCACCCACTGGGTGCGTTGTAGTGCATCCTTTCGCACAACAGCGTTCACCACTAGAAGTGTCTCCCATCAGGATCTATTGTAGTACTTACTCTAGTGTATGTATTATATATAAAGTTACCGTCCAGCTGAGGTGAAAGGTGAAATATTCACACTTGTAAAAACTAAAAAAAAAGATAAATATACGGATGACCCCTGAGTCTCACCGACCCTCTGACGGTCTGACAGCAGTGACCGGATGGCCGGAGCACTAGATGAACAACACAAATTTAAAAAGGAGCAATTAGAGCTCCTGATTAGCTCAGTTCCAATCGGAGCTGGCTGTAGGACCGGTCTAAAAAGACCTGGATATATATAGGGGGTTGACCAAAATAGAAATTGAACATATAAAGAGGTAGACACCTTAACGAGGTGGACATATAAAGAGGCATGACTGTACTAAATATTTGTCTCGACTCTGGATCAACTCAAATATTGTCCAACAGAAAAAAATGGCCGCTGGGCCTGGGCCCCCTGGCCCAAGCCTTGGCTCTCAACCTCTCAGTCTCCCACTGTTAAAAATAATTTGTTTGTTTTTTGTTTGTTTTGTTTTTAAAAACAAAAGAGCAAAAATAGTCGCACTCTCCCACAGTCCCACTGCTGGGCACTCTGGCAGGCGGAAGCCACGCACATCAGATATGACGTATGACGTATGAGTCATGAGTAGTTATTTTCGTGGTAATTGGTAGTTGACTAGTTGTCTTTTGACTTTGGCGACACGTCGCGACGGTCTTTTACTTACTTTTTTAGGCAACATGTCGTTTGGTCAAGTCGATCTATGTCTAACGCCCCGAGGGCCCGACCGTAATAACATTAGCTGGGCGCCCTGGGGCAGGCAGGCTGGCCACAGTGCAGTTGCACTGCCGAATGCCGATTCGGCGATTAGATTGTTGTAATCTAATGGAGTGACGGAGCTAAAATCAGTTTGGGTACACAGAGAAACAATCTACATTACTATATCATATATCCACTTCTTTTTATGAAAATTAAGTATGTATGCTCTATTACTCCTCAGAGTCCACAAAGAAGAGAAAAAGCGACATCATTGATCATAATATCAATAATGAATAATCTCAGGAGTCCCAGGCAAAAACGTTTACGGTCAACTTTTATTATATAACAAGACCCACTATTTTTCTATAAGGTGCAGTTTCTAGGTGCCTCCTTGCGCCAAATCGCTAAGTTGGCGCCTGAATAAATATGTAGCCCATTTTGTTTAAAATAGGCCTAGATTCGAAGTGCAACATAGAATTTCGTTCGTAAATTTGCCCTCAATAAACGGTCAACCGTTTATAAATCATAAAAGTATACGTTTACATCATGTTTCATGCCTTATATGTACTCTGAGTCCCTGACAGTATTGACATTAGGCCCAAGGACCCTGGATCCAGCAGACCAGGACTGTCCGTGATCAGTGATGAGTGATCAGTGATTAGTGATCACTGATGACTCTGTCTCAACTCCCATGATGTCTCTTCTCTATACTCTACTAGCTCTCTCTCTTTAGAGTAGTAGATGCTCTAAAAGTATTTAGGTATCTGAACTCTCAAGTCTGAAGTCAACTCTCAAGACTCAAAAGTCTAAATTCTGAAAACTGATCACTGAAGTCTGAACTGAAACTCCGAACTTCCGAAGTGTAAATAAATACGAAGAGTCGAAGACTCGAAGAGGCAAGAAGTGAGAGACGCCAGTTGTCACTACTTTCAAATTTTTAGATATTTTTTACAAGTATGTATTTATTATTGTGTGTAACTGTGTAGAATATTTCATTTTCTATTTTAGTATAGTGTATTATAGTGTGTATGTAGGAACTGTGCAACTCTGTCAGTGGTGAGAGGTGTGCCATGTGGTGGATTGACGATTACTGATTGGTGATTTATACTTGTGTTTGTAGAATCGTATTTTTCACATATGTGAAATTGTACTATATCTACAACAAGAGAAGCGAAGTGCGCAGGAGGGCCGCAGGGTGCAGGCCCGCAGCCCGCAGCTTTTTTATTTTATTTCTATTTTTGTACGCTCAGTACGAAAACGCAAAAAAAAAGTTCTCCAGGCCGACTGTCATTCTGAGTCTGAGACTCTTGAGTCTACTCTAGTCTCTGTAGTAGTATGGACTATGGAGCATATTTGATGCTCATCTTTTAAATGGAGCTTTTCGATTAGCTTTCCTCAATCCACAGTTCAAACTTCAACACCGAATTCTAACCCCCCCCTCCCTGAGTTCCCACTACTAAGTTTAAGAATTATATTTAGTAGAGTTCTTACTGTATTATGAGTAATTGAGACTGTAAAAAGTACAAGATTACAACACAACAAGAATTAGAGAAGTGAAGTCTCAAGTCTCAACTCAACACACACAAGACGAAGAGAGAGAGAAGAGAGAGAGAGAAGAGAGAGAGAGAGAGAGAGAGAGAGAGAGAGAGAGAAGAAAACAAACTGAAAAAGACAAGCGGTTCGCGCACATAGGGCGTAGGCGTAATTGTTATTTGTTTTACTAAAGTAAAAAAAACGAGGTAGAATCCACCTGGAGTAGAAAGCTCTACTCTTTTTATTAAAATTCGAATTTATAGAGAATTATATTTATTTGGGACAAGGGTTTTAGTGTAGACTAGAGTGTAAACTGTAGGCTGTAGACTGTAGACTGTAGACTGTAGACTGTAGACTGTAGACTGTAGACTGTAGACTGTAGACTGTAGACTGTAGACTGTAGACTGTAGACTGTAGACTGTAGACTGTAGACTGTAGACTGTAGACTGTAGACTGTAGACTGTAGACTGTAGACTGTAGACTGTAGACTGTAGACTGTAGACTGTAGACTGTAGACTGTAGTCTACTGTAGACCGTGTACAGTACATAGTATTTAGAGTGTACACTGTAAAGTGTAGAGTGTAAACTGTAGACTGTCGAGTGTAGTGTACATTTCAGCCCTATCTGGCACCCTAAATTTCTCGTCTGGGACAACTCATCAATCTGGGACTTCTGGGTCTGTCCACTGTCCCAATTTCTGTATTTTAGTTAAATTCGATTGCCCACCATCCAGAACTTCGGGGCAGGGCCCCCGATGTGGCAATGGTAAATAAAAACCAATAAATACATAAGAAAATTTTCGCTTCTGTTCTTTGTAGAAATAAAAATAAAAAACGTCAGGAAAACCGGAAATATAAAATATTTACAACGCAGGGTCAGATAAAGCCATCGAACTTTCGAAGCCGCGAAGGTCGAAGAGTGTTGGAACTGTTGATGAGTGTTCGCAATTCGCACTCTCGCTTTTTATCAAGGAGCATACCATTGTGTTTTCATTAGGTCTCTTGCATCGCTCTAAAAATAATCCTGTGACGTTTCTGCCTTGTTGTGGGACTACACAGTAGCATAGAAGTAGAAAATACATTATTTAATTACAAACACGGCTTGTTATCACTAGCATAAACACGATGGCAGACTTTGCTCTAGCTAATTTGATGAGTAGGCCACACTCGGTCACTCCCAGGAGAAGTATACAAGCTCATACACAAGCCCCTCTTACACGTACACGCAGTGTTAGTCTAAACAATAACCTTGTAAGCTCAGGTGCGAATTTAAATATACCATACGGCTGTAGTGCGTCGCGATCCACTACCGTGAGATCTGGCCCTTCCAGTAACGATCATTTGTCACCCATCAATAGCAATCGTGGCAGAACTAGTCAGCCCAATTTGCAATCTAATTTTTCGCCTACTAATAGAGCAAGCTATATCGATGCACCTACACCACACGAGCAAGATGATACGGGGAGCTCTGTGTTCAGATCACTGGTCAATTGCGGAGCGGATTCGAGTTCCGAGGAAGATGTCGTTGAGACTGTGCAATTATCGGCGTCGACTGAGACGTTTGACTCGGCTGTATTGGCCAGTGAGAAAAGTACGGAGTTTACGGCGATGAGAAAGCTGAACAAGTATGTATTTTGTAATCAACTTGAGCTTGAGTGCTGCGAAAGGTTGTCGTCTATACATGACGCACAAATATTGCGACAAGAGTGCTTGTGCCGAATTTTACTGTTGTACTTATGAAGGATGTACATGCTTTAACACTTCCCCTTCAAGCTACCATCATCATTTGTCTGGAATTCGTATGGTTGCACGATGCGATGGTATTTATAGGGTGCAATGAAGACAATAGAGTTAAAATGGCATGAGTTTATAAAATCGCCAACTAGTAACACGTTGTGGTATAATATTACGCTGTGCTGAATATATTTTAAAATGCTAATTCCTATTCCCACAGAAACCTGGCAACGACAGTATTATCGCACTCGGCCAATCGCAGACTTCGCTCGGGCGATAGCCTCAACGCTGTGATTGATATGCAAGTACACAATGGCTTTGAATATATACGAATTTATGCGATTATCACGTGCACAATGATTACAAAGAAAGACAGCCATGAGATAGTTATGGGCAGGCATCCAATACGAGAAAATCCAGGAAAATTTGGGGTAGGAAGGTATGAAGTCAGATGCGAATGGTATATTACGCGTCGCGTATGACTGATCTGTCCTTATTATACGAATACATTGAAAATTCTTTTAATTACATTTTAATTTTACTCTCATTCAATGTAGATATTCGATTCCAGTGGTCGTTGATGTTCCAGAGGGACCGCCTACCATGGCTTGGAATTCCCCTGACTTACGATACAAGGTATAAATATCGTACAAATTCAATGAGCTAAGTTTTTGTGCTACAAGATTTACCTCCCGGGACATTTGTGTTAGGGTTTAGGGTTTTCTAGTTCGATAGATGGGAGATCACTTTCAGGGCAAAGGTAATATTGATTGTGTTGGCTACAGCAATATGACCTTCTATAACTTCTTCATACCCACTCAGATAGAGTATAAACTAAAGATTGTAGTCGAGAAGTTCTTGGGGACCGCTGTCAGCGTATCGGATACAGCTAATATTCTACTGTGCGAGACGGTGCTCGATCATGAAACGGATGTATTTCGTAGTACAATACTGGTTGCAGGTAAATTTTCATTTTGGGCTGCAGGACAGTGTTCATATTATATGAGATTGTATGATGTATAGTACGTTCTACTTGCTATTCTATGCTACGATCCGTTTGCAGGCCAGGTCTCCGCCTGTGGATATATTTTTTCACTGAAATTGTTTCTCAAAATCCATATGCAGAAACCACCGTTGTGGGGAAGAAAGAATTGAGCATGACGGCACAGTGTGATAGGTATGTTCATCCGCAAAGTATAACGTTATTTTGGTTTTGAAGATACTTTCATTCATCTGTGTACTGTGCCGTTCAATCCAACTTTAATTTTAGGTGATTAGGTTGCCTCGGTATTTGTAAGGTGTCGCATCCCATGAACAACTGCCTAGATATAGTTATATATCTTAATTCATCGCTGAACATATACATTTCTTGTAGTATGCTTCCGTTTGGAGACGATAAGGAGCCACTCCGGGTCAATGTCAATCTCAACAACCCGGCTGGTAGGAGGATTGAGGTGAGTAGTGCTTTGTATTTTTTCTGTGAATAGTTGACCCTCTTTCGCGTTGTATTGTCGCATGTTGGGAAATTTGACTCATTCCAAGAATCTTCTTTGCAGTCCGTTCAAGTGAAGTGTCGACAGGAGCTGAGATGTTTTGTGCAGCCGGATGATAGCGCAATCAAGGTATCGCCGGTGTAATTGGATAATCTCTTTTGGATCTTCTGATTCTTTTTTATTCGGACGCATAGATAAAGTTAGTTGGCGTATCGTACGCAATTACTTACAAATCAATTCCATCGTTTCTCAGGCGGAGGTTGTACCTGCTCGTGCGTTGTTGCAATCTGTTGCACCTCTGCGGCGGTTATCAACCAGGGCGCGAGAGACCGATTCTTCGAACACGAAGAGTGCTATGGATGAGGTTGCAAACAAGTAAGTTTGGTTTTCTGAAAGTCTTGCTTAGGCATCATTGCTGTACAATGTAAATACCGTCACGTGATGTTTTGCAGATGTACGGTCTCATTGGTTCATGGTACGGATGTTTATCCTTAGCTTCCTCGTTTTGTAGCCCAGCTCATTGCGAACCATTTTTGCCACAAACAGAATACTCTATCCTCACGAGATGCGAAAGAAGTACAACCGACCGGAGGGATTACGCTACTATAGCGATTTTCAGAAGACTCAAAAGATTGTAGACAGTAAGGAGCAAAACATCGATCTGGTAATGGTTCTCCATCCGTCAGATGCCGACTTCAGGTTTGATGTTAAAGGTTTTCCATATAACTTGGCACATCGCTTGTACAAATCTGTGGAGGGAGAAGGGGAGCATGCCTCTACCAAGACCAAATATGAACTCGGTGCGACGTTTGACTTTGCGTGCGAGAAGTTCGAAGTATCTACCAAGTATTTTGTGAACATCAAAGCCATCGTGAACGACGGAATAGGCCAGAAAGCTGTGCTGAGGGCGCAGTTGCCCGTTACCTATGTATCCGAGTACATGGATTGATAACAGCCGCCAATACCTGCCATTGCAGCACCTACAATACCCAGGGTTTAGTCGCATGCGAAGGTTCACTATCAAATATCGGCAGGGACCCACTTCTTCACCAGCTGCGGACATACAGTGTTTCGGTCAGTCAGCGCATCCCCAGTATCTCAGTTACCTGCGTATACCAAGCTGATTGTCTTCAGCAAACGCCCCGTATTCTGTCACTTGCGGAAGTACAATGTCCCCCTCTTAGTTATGGATAAAAAACATCAGAACAGATTATACAAGGCACGGGGCACCGGGTAGTTATCTATCGGATCGCGAATTAGCGACAGCTACATGAGGATGACAGTTAGGGGCAGAAGCTGCGATGTCCGTCTGACATACAAACGCGATTCCAAAGATTGGAACCGATGTCATACAACAGAACAGAACGCGTACTGGCTAATAGATGTAGGCTAAACAGCAATGTTCTACGATCGATTTCTCGCACGCTTCAAGTACCGAGTAGTACAACCACACAATCAGAGCACAAAAGTACGGGCGTATCTACTTTAACTGGTGACCTCGATTGAATGCTTTAGTAGCATAGGACGTTCTTGATTAGAAACGTCATGTGCCATGGACACCGGAGGGTCCCGAGTTTAGTGGTGGCTATGCAATGAGGAAGACTTGACAATGAGCTACCAAGCTGCTACAATCTCCAATTTGGCTCCGCGAATGCATATTCACGGAATTGTTCCGCTAGGGTTCTAAAAGATCGGCTCGTGGCATTTATGATACTGCCACACAGACACAAGCTAGCAGATGTTTCCCGAGTTGTGAGAATTCACCACAGCCACTTTCGACTGCGAGCTTACGATCTGGAAGCGCTCACGCTTCTGATGGTAATGTCGCATTGAACCTTCAATGAGCTTTGATTAGTACGCCATCTTTGCCCACAAGTACGCATGGTGGGATGAATAATCGCAGCATCAGAGAAAGCAATTCGTCGCATGGGACCGCTGTGTCTATGACCGAGTGGTTAGAGGTCAGTGATTGATTATGAGTTGACGTAGAATAGATGAGAATACTCTTCAATCATATGATATAGTGAGGAATCGATCTCCTTCATTTAGCTACTATATTGGCCGAAGCAACCGGCTATGAATTAGTTGAATGAAAATTGACGACCAGAAACAGAAGCTCAAATAATATATAAATTAATGCATATGTATAATTTGGAGTGATTTGCTTTACGATATCTGGCGCGCATGATGCAACATATTTTAAATAAAAATTCTTCGCGAACGGCAATTGAGCATATAGGTCGCAAGTGAGTCCTGTTTCCCCATCCTGTTTTCCCGAACTGTATGGCAATGAATAGATGCTACATATTATTTCATACAAACACATATTATACTTATCAATGGATAGAGACAAACACACGCACAAATATATATTTC